TGGCTGTACGTTCGAGATTCCTCGGATTATATATATATATATATATATATATATATATAGACTTACCCACTAAGAATTCCGTCATATTAATGGCGGTACCATTAACTAGAATACTCATGTCTGTCCTGTCATCATTCAGTTGGAATTCGACCTGTCAAAAATAAAGCAAAACTAAAATTTTATTTTATTTTAGTGAAATGGCATTTATTTAGAATTCACAAGCAAGCTTCGGTATTGTATGAAAGCATTGTATGGAGTTTACATCCAAAAATCTTACAAAATCATGTACAGAGAGAGAAAAGGGACAGAAAGGGAGAGACGGGACAAAAAGGAGAGAAGAAAAAACAGTGAGATAGAAGCGGGACGCATGAGAATTGAGAGGTGTGCCTCGGGGTTTATAGGATTAGGCTAAGAGTTAGGATAAGGGATAATTTTGATCTGGTGAATTTAGCTATTGGAGGTTTTACAACGTGTGTGACTGTTGCAGCTCTGCGGACACTGATGGAGACTAATCGAAATCCTAATTTAGACCCTGTATCGCACATTGAACCCTAACCCTACACCTTTGACGAAACACAGCAATGTCATTGTCGCAATAATTGCATGACCGATGAGCTATAGCCGGCAGAGGATATCGTAGTAACCACCTACCTTAGTGATTTCTTGTGTCGCAGCGAACCCTGTGAAGACTGTCCCATGTTCAACAGGAACGCTGTTGTTAAACGCCTTACCAGTTCTGGCTTGCAGCATGAACGGGTCACCATGACTGTAAGCCATCGTGGTGTATTCCCCAAGACCATTGAAGGTGTACTTTCTACCGTCAAGAGTATTGATGTGCGGGTCGCCCCAAAACCATCCTGAAAGTTTTCGAATCAAACGGGTAAACGCAACTGCACTCTCATTAGGAAACAAAATAATCTGAGGTCTCGTTACTTGACTTTAATGAAATATAGAAGATGTGCTGTTTTATTTCAGCCCCCTTACTGGGGTCATTCCAGTAGCTCGACAGCCTTCAAGATCGTTTCTGGTTCCTGAGTGCTCGATCTCGTGAACGCGCAGGGAAAAAAGGTAAACATGTCTTATACTGCGCTGTTTGTCTCTATGACTGTCGAGCTCGACAACAAAACAAGTTATTCATATCTATTCCTGTGAGCAAGGTTTTTTGTGTGTGCACCTTTTCAACATCTAGGCCTGTCTAGTTATTAATTTGACTTAATGATGCTAGGTGTTCAAAGAGAATTAGATGCTTTTGATGGATAATAACGAAAATTTAACAATGAATTATGATATACTTTTTGTATACCATTTTATCAAATTGATTATTATTATATCTATAAGATTAAACAGTCAAACCTGCTTTAGTGACCACCTGTATGGAAAGACAACCTGTCTATAAAGACTACATTTTTGTTTCCCTTGGGCAGATTTTCCCTTTAAAACCTCTATCACAGGAACCTGAACACAAAGACCACCTGCTCTTAAAGACCACTTTTATATTTTAGTGTATGTTATTTATTTTATTTGTTTGTATCTCACCAGGGTTTCCCATTCAACAACAGTTGGTCTTCAATAGGGGCATGGAAATACATACTGCAAACAGTCAACAAGCTAATTAATTATTTGTTTAGTAATATCCCTAGACATGATCTTACCGAACCATGGTGGCCTATATCCCCAGCAGTGAGATCTTGGACGACGACTTTCGTAAAGGTTACAGAAATTCCCTCCAGCCAGATCACAGCAGTAGAAACGGGGTAGAACGTCCCTCTCTTTAGACATGAACACAATTTTATAAAAGGAGATTAATGATTAAAAAAATTACAGGGTCTCGTTGCATAAAGCTTACCATTGATGGTAGCTTTGCCATCAATGGCAACTTCCATGGTAACAGGGCTTAACAGCCAATCGAAATCAAGGTTTCCATGGTAGTTACCATGGATGGCAAAGTTACCACCAATGATAAGTTTTGTGCTACGGGGCCGAGATCGAGATAGAGAGAGAGACAGAGAAAGGTGAGAGAGAAAGATAAGGAGAAAGACAAGAGAGACAAGAGAGAGAATAAAGAGAACGAAAGAGAAAGAAGAAAGAGACAGGGAGAAAGCGAAAGAAGAAAGAGACAAGGGGAGAGCGAAAAAAGAAATAGAAAGAAAGAAGAGAGTGTAAGGGAGAGAAAGAGAGAAAGAGAGAGAGAGAGAGAGAGAGAGGGAGACGTACGTGCAAGGGAGATACAAATCAGAATTACAATTTCCACCATGAAAGGCTACGTAGAATATAGAAGACAGATTACGTCATAACTGCAATTGTCAGGTATTTACATGCCCTCAAAAACTTATCACAAAATTTATCTGTTGCAGCAAGATTAGCTCATGGAAGTATGTATGAAAAATTCAGATCAAAATTGTTTTCTCTTTAAACGTGACATTCGAGGCCCTAAATAATAAAACACTGCCAGTTGCATAATTCCTATTGGAAAAAATAAACGATTGTGATTTTGCTTATGATGAGCATTCTGTAAACATATTATTAAGAAAGTTCTCCGTTACAATTTTTGACAGAATTTTAGCTTTTTTGCAAGTTTTTGAGATTTTCAACACGCCAATCCCTGCATGCTTTTTAAATGTAACGATAGTAAAGTGGAATCGCAGGAATGTGTAGGTGTACTCACCAATCCAAGAATAATAGTAATAAAGGGAGTAATAGTAATAAGAGAAGAATCGAGCATTGGAGGGCATGACTGCTTGATAGTGACTGGCCCTATAACCCCTGGTCAAAGCAGATCGGTCGTATGTACAACGGTATCCACCACCAAAGGACGGCCATCTGGGCTGGTAACATGCGGTACCTATTCAGAATGTTAACAGAATGTAGAGGGGGGAAATGGTTAATGAAATGCACAGTGGTCTATTCCGGGAGGGGGGGGGGGGGGTACTCAGATTTGGTTTGGACAGGGGTGTTCTGCTCAAACCTCGAAACCCCTTTTTTAAGGGTCACTTGGAGGTGCCCATTTTTCACGATTCTGAAAAAACGGACCCATCTTTAGGTGTATTTTTGTTAAAATGGGCCCCATCTTTACGGTTTTTTGTGAAAAAGTGACCCATTCGATCGGCTGCCCCTGATCACGCGCTTAAAAAGAAAAGATCATCAACGGAGCTTGGACCTCAACCCTAGCCCGCCCCTCTCACCCGAAATCGACAATTCTGGCTACTTACATGGATTGTCAGAAGTCGAGAACAGTGATTGCTTCAATCCGTGTACAAGTAGTTTTACCCACATATGTTCTCTCGACACATGTTTAAATGTGTGTACCTTGCAATGCTGGTATAGTAATAATTTCATCGGCCCGAAGAAAGAGCGGTATTATTACTTATATGGCTACCATGTGTAAGCAAGACCAAATTATTTTATCATAAAGTGACATGGAAACAATGCTGCTTACCATAGTAATAGCTCGACAGACCATATCTGTAGCCATAATTATATCCGTAGCCGTACCCGTAGCCGTAACCGTAGTCGTACCCATAACCATAGCCGTAGTAGGGATAGTTGCATCGGGTAAACCTTCGATCAATCATGGCCTGCCAGCGGGTGCAAGGGCATGGCTCTGCCCACCATGCCCACCACCATGCCCACCATGATGTCTTTGAGAGATCATCCTGGTACCAATCTAGACAGTAACGGCGCGGGTTGACGTACCAGTCGGGATTTTCGTCAAGACGATAAATGTCTCTTCCCTGTTAGTATGAGCGAAACATGGTTTGAAGTTGAATTAATGCTACATGTATTATTATTAGTATTATTATCCCGATCATCATCATTTTATAATAATAATTATAACTATTGTTATTAATAGTAGTAGTAATAGTGGAAGTTTTAGTAGTAGTATTTTTCACTAATTTCTCATGATTTATGTCGCTAGTTACGTAGGGGGCAAATGACGTTATAGCCGCCCTGATATATAGATATTCGCTTTACTCTATTTAGTAAAATAGTCTAAGAGACCGGTGATGCCAATTATAAGATCAGCGCGAGAAATTACGTAGCGCATAGTATTAAAGTATTTCTACAAGTTCTTACTAATATCTCGTGATTTTAGGCAAGGAACGTAATTTATCATTCTTATGTTGTTAGGTAAGAGACGTAATACCCGTCCTAACATAAACGATATTCCTAACTATATTCAACGAAATAGTCCTCACCATGCGACCGGTGTTGCCGATCCTGAGATCGGGGCGATAGCTTGCGTATCGTATAGCAGGATAGTTTCCCTGGTAGATATTCAGTCTTTCATGCTTGATGTTGTAACCAATCCTAGCAGGTACCGCCTTAGAGTATGGATTCCATTGAAAACTTCCTTGCTGATACATCGTCAAGACACCGCTTCTACTGCCATCAGTAAAGAGAATTGCTTGGTAGGTATTGGTCTGAGAGAGGGAAGAGTGTACATAAGTTATTAACATGTCGTGTTTTTTTTCTTCTTTAAAGGTTCATAATGTGAAGGCTCGTTACTTTGAAGGTTCATAATTCCAAACTTTCGTATTTCAGAAAATAAACCAGGGTTCAAAATTCCAAAAATGAATAAGGGTTTATAAAATAGAGTTAATAAATCCAAACGTTACATAGAACTCTCAATCATTTTCCAGCACCGAGTGGGATATGAATTTACCTCCTGTCCTGCGATTGATCCTGGAGTCTGAACGTTAACCCACGTGACCTTGAGAATAAAGTTGATTCCATTGATGAACCGGAAGGACTCCAACCCTGCCGGAAGTGACAGAGCTCCATACAGTCTTTCTTTCACTGCTGCAAGCAGAGCATCAGAGTTTCCGTACCTCTTGTTAATGTCGTATACCTAGTTAAAAAAAAAAAAACATAATAGTAATATAATGACGATGATGATAATAATGATAACAATGATAACAATAATTATTATAACAATCACAACAATACTACTAACAATAACCATAATAATAATATTACTACTACTAATAATAATAGTAATCTTAGTCCTAGAAAATCTTCCCAGGATAGTAAGGTACAAAGGGCAAGCTGAAAGATCCTGTCTATTTGTTGTAAAATTAGTTTACCTGTTATATCCACATGGGGTTTAATGCTGGTAAGCCGAGTAATCTTGTCACGAATTTTAAATGGAGGGACTATACTATGAAATGTTCGTCAAAGTACAATCAGAATTAAAGAGCTAAAATCTATTAATCGTAAGACCAACAGTATAACTATTATTATTTTTATTACAAATTCCGGACAAATCATAGAGAACAAACAATATTATGGTTGCATGAAGTATTAAATACAATTTCGACAAATATATCATGCTTATCTTTGATTACAATGGAATTTAATGAAGCGGATTCTATTTGTAAATGCTACTCTGATGACTAAACAAACTACAGAATATGCAGTCGGTTTGACTGAGGTGTACGAATGCTCACCTGGTAGTAGATCTTAGGGTTACCCCTGTAGAGGTCAACCGGGGCACCAAATACCGCAATGGCTGGGTCTCCATAGAGCTGATCGAAGAAGCTAAACGTAGATGGGTTGATGTATTTGAAAAGTGAATAGCGGTGTGGATAGTAGGTCGAAAAGTGGATCATCCCTGTTGATGTAAACTGTACGAGTTAGGCAAAGAGAAATCATATGTTGTATTTTGTATTAGATTGGGTGTCATCAAGATTATGCTCTTCATTAACAAAAACAAAAAAAAGATGTACACAAAGAGGAGGTAAAAATGATTATTAAAACAAATATCTTGATAAAGAGTTCTATCGATGATAATAATTATATGTATATGCATATTAACTTGGTCACATCATGAAACCGATGCCGTATTGACTCCGAACCGATTGTTTTTTTGGCCATTAATGGCAATGCAATATTTTGTTCGGTCTGTTGTCGGTGTGACTGAGGTAAATATTATTACTGAGTTGAGGGATTAACCGCACTTTGCTATCAAAGCTCTTTGCTTCAGAGGCCTTACTGGAAGGAAGCCTATGGCTAAATGTCCTATCTTAATCTCCAAAAAAAAGACTTTACAATTATCTTTTTGAATGAGATGGTTATGTAAATGTAGTGCTTTACATTAATGTTACTAAGAACTTAAGAATACAAAATTAAAGAATGAAGCAGTATTGAATAGCTAAAATAATAACGAAAGAGGCTGATGATACAAAATATCAATTTTTGTTTACGCAGGAAAGCCTCTTAAGCATCGATGCTAATATTTATGAGCGCCCTGCAAGTTTGATTAAAACAAGCAATTGCCACATGGGTTGGAAGTGGCAAATGTCTTGCCAAAGGATGCTAGTGCCGGGATTGGATTCGAACCCTCAACCCTTGGATTTCAGAGTCAAGTGAATGAACCACTATTATACAGGACACATCGATATTGAATGCTGAATGTAATACTTACAGTGATGTAGGTGTATAGCCGGCCGTAGCTGATAGGAAACCCAGTATCGAGTCTTATAGTGTACCAAGCAAGAAAGCTGTATTGAAAATAACTCAGTGACCGGTCGGGGTAAGAGCCGTAGTCAATGTAGATACGTTCTAAACAATACATTCAAACAAAACATTTAAATATATATATAAATATATAATTTATAATCCTACAACTAATAATAATGATAACAATAATTATCATAATAATGACAATAATAATCATTATAATAATAACAACAATAAGTATTTGTTCTGGTGATGTATGACAAGTAATTTGTTACCTATTTCTACATATAAGAGTATCATACCAAGAAGTTGCTGGTAACGATGCTTTAAATTGCATGGTGACTTTGATTAAGCATCAACTATTTGTTCAAAAGCTTAATAACAAAATTCCAAATTTTAGTTCTTTGAAGAAGAAAATTATTCAATATTATGAAGACGAGAAATATATCCATTCTATATCTGGTATGCATAACAATTTTTTTACTAAATGGCAGGCACTTCAACATTTGTTTGTATGAACAACAAGGAGAGAAATGTGAAAGTATTCTGTTTTGTTTGAGTTCAGGAAAGACTTAATTTCATTGAATTGTAAAAATGTTTGTTTGACTCAATAAAATAGCCTATGGAGGGCTAAAACGTTTTAAAAAAAACAACTTCTTGATCATACATGGAAATAATCCTCTTGATTTGCTTCCATCTTTTAATATCAAGTCTAGAATTTTGAACCAAATCCGAATTTCATAATAACGTGTGCAAAGCATTTTATGGTTTATAATTTATTTATTTATTTATTTAAATCATGGTAAAACCCCGTTCAGGTAGTAGGCTGATTTACAAAGGGGCTGTTTAATAAATTTAATTGGATATCAAATACAAATACTTGTACATATCAACAAAAATCCTCAGCAAGATATCATTAGCGTGTCCAGGGGGTTCGCTGAAGCACCCCTCATGCGCGCACAACCCCCTCTCCCCTAGATAAAAAAGGGTCAAAAGGGGTAAGATGATTTTCCTTAGAGACCAACGAGTATGGGACAAGGAGCAGTAGATATTTCGTGACTCGGCAGTAATGATTGTATTTGAAACAGAGTATCCAACATACCTGAGATCAATGGAAACCATGTCAACATACGGCAGCATAAATATTACAAAATAGATAAATGAATGGAGCTTAATGTCAAAGCTCGGATATATTTGTTGACCACACCACCATCACTGTTCCCCTCTTGAAACTCCTTCCGATAGAGGCAGCTATTTAAAGACACACGCCATACTTCGCATCCAATGACCCATTCTTTAAATTTCCCTCGAACTCCCCGGTAGGTAGCCATATGATGGAATGCTCATTGACGAGCTTGAGACTAAAGAGAGATGATAAAGAGAGACAAGAGAGAGACAAGAGAGAGAGAGAGAGAGAGAGAGAAAGATAGAGAGAAAGAGAGAGAGACAAGAGGGAGAAAGAGAGACAAGAGAGAGAGAGAGATAGAGAGAGAGAGAGAAAGAGAGAAAGACAAGAGAGAGAGACAAGAGAGAGAGAGAGAGAGAAAAGGAGAGAGAGGAAGAGAGAGAGAGAGAGACAAGAGAAAGAGAGAGACAAGAGAGAGAGAGAGAGAGAAAGAGAGAGATAGAGAGATAAAGAGGAATTTAAGGGAGAGAGGCCTATGCGAAGAGGGAGGGGAAGGTAGAGGGGAAAATAGTGACAGTGTGAGAAACATGGCGCTATTTGCTTACGCTAGCGCTAACGACTAGCTTACCATTGGGTGACATGTCAGTGGTTGTAACATCTGTCAAAGTAGTCGTAGGCCTTCTGGTTCCCACATCTGTTGCAATGGTTGTGACTGGTTTCTTGGTTACTGTAGAAGATGTGTCATCTACTTTAGTAGACATCGTAGACATCGTACTTCCTGTGGTATCTTTTTCAGCTGTTGTATCTGAGGGGACTGTAATCTTGTCTGTTGTATCTGGGGTGACTGTAGTCTTGTGTGTTGTATCTGGGGTGAGTGTTGTCTTGTCTGTTGTATCTGGGATGACTGTAGCCTTGTCTGTTATATCTTGGATGAGTGTTGTCTTGTGTATTGTATCCGGGGTGTTTGTAGTCATGTCTGTTGTATCTGGGCTGACTTTAGTCGTGTCTGTTGTATCTGGGATGACTGTAGCCTTGTCTGTTGTTACCTGGGTGAGTGTTGTATTATCTGTTGTATCTTGGATGACTGTAGTCTTGTCTGTTGTATCTGGGATGACTGTAGTCTTGTCTGTTGTATGTGGGATGACTGTAGTCTTGTGTGTTGTATCCGGGATGTTTGTAGTCGTGTCTGTTGTATCTGGGATGACTGTAGTCTTGTCTGTCGTATCTGGGATGACTGTAGCCTTGTCTGTTGTATCTGGGATGACTGTAGTCTTGTCTGTTGTATCTGGGATGACTGTAGTCTTGTCTGTTGTACGTGGAATGACTGTAGCCTTGTGTGTTGTATCTGGGATGACTGTAGTCTTGTCTGTTGTATCTGGGATGACTGTAGCCTTGTCTGTTGTATCTGGGATGACTGTAGTCTTGTGTGTTGTATCTGGGATGACTGTAGTCTTGTCTGTTGTATCTGGGATGACTGTAGCCTTGTCTGTTGTATCTGGGATGACTGTAGCCTTGTCTGTTGTATCTGGGATGACTGTAGTCTTGTCTGGTGTATCTGGGATGACTGTAGTCTTGTCTGTCGTATCTGGGATGACTGTAGCCTTGTCTGTTGTATCTGGGATGACTGTAGTCTTGTCTGGTGTATCTGGGATGACTGTAGTCTTGTCTGTTGTACGTGGAATGACTGTAGCCTTGTGTGTTGTATCTGGGATGACTGTAGTCTTGTCTGTTGTATCTGGGATGACTGTAGCCTTGTGTGTTGTATCTGGGATGACTGTAGTCTTGTCTGTTGTATCTGGGATGACTGTAGTCGTGTCTGTTGTATCTGGGATGACTGTAGTCTTGTCTGTCGTATCTGGGATGACTGTAGCCTTGTCTGTTGTATCTGGGATGACTGTAGTCTTGTCTGGTGTATCTGGGATGACTGTAGTCTTGTCTGTTGTACATGGAATGACTGTAGCCTTGTGTGTTGTATCTGGGATGACTGTAGTCTTGTCTGTTGTATCTGGGATGACTGTAGCCTTGTGTGTTGTATCTGGGATGAGTGTTGTCTTGTGCATTGTATCCGGGGTGTTTGTAGTCATGTCTGCGTTATCTGGGCTGACTGTGGTCTTGTCCGTTGTATCCGGGGTGACGGTATCTGCGGAGGTTGTAGCATCTTTGATTGTGTCTGCTTTAGTTGCGGTCTCCCACACTGTGATCACAGTCATTTCCGTGTAGTCTGAGATGATGAAGGGAAGCACAAAGAGAAAGATTCGTTTTCGCAGTCTTAGAATTTACCGCTATCACTGACAGAATTTCGGAAATTATTTCTCAAAGGATTATACTTCCTTCATGAGTTGACGTGTTATGGATTTTAATATACGTAATAAAAGAAGTTTCATGGAACTTACTTCTTCATATCATCATATAACTTGAATTGTGACTATGCATGCCATCTTCTGCTTCATTTTCAAATTAATTCGCCTTCTGCGTTTTGCTTGTAAGCCTAGTGAAATTCATTCAACATAAGTCAAATGATTGTTGTATCATCGATCACTTGAAGAAGATCACCAACACCAAAGAAAATTGTTTAATAAAAAGAAGAACCTGTTTTTTCTATAATCAAATTGAAGTATCCATTTTTTAAAGAAAAATTCGGTACATGAAAACTTGTATTAACCATAGTTATCAATTACTATTATAACTATCATCTACCTATAACTAATATCTATTTATATGTTGTTATTATACTATCATCTATCTATTACTATTATTATTCTATGCAATGTCTTATACCCGCTGCCAACAAGGCGTTAAATTGATTGCGTCATTACCTCCACTATCCACATGTTTTCATAAACATTTTGTCTACTTATCATTTGGTCTAATTTCCATATGGCCTAATCTCAAATTAGTCTACTACTCATTGGTCTATCTTCATTTAGGCGAATAAACAGTTAGTCTAATGCCCATTTTGTCTACCAACCATAAGGTCTAATAATAAATTGATGAGTATCATTAATTATGATTATATCGTGCAAACTGTTTAATAGACCAAACGGCTGTAAACAATGAAAATAATACGCCTATAGATTCTTACCTGTCACAGTAGTTTGAGTCACGCATGAAGTGAATATCTGTAGGGGTCAATCACAACATTGAAACATATTTCACGATAAAAGTATGATCGCCCCAAAATACAGTAATATATTGGAAACTGGTAATGAAAAAGAAAAGGAACAGTAAAGGAGGGGGTAATCGACCATCTCCAGTTTTCAGCCGATTGGTTGCATGGTAAAATCCCTTTAAAATACATCGCATACTATTAAGGTAATCACACTGCCTGTGCACACAGTATGCCCCCTGCACATACACACACACACACACACACAACAGCAGTCAGTTGGTAGAAATAGCAATTTTCGTACATTTATTTTAACAAAACTGAACAATATTTTTAAATTTTTATTTCACATATCTTTCAAGCATACCTTTAACTACAATTCTGTGTAGTTTTATTGTTATAGGCATGTGTAAAATATGTTAAATTATTAATTAGAATATGGTCTTTTCAGCCATGTGTGACATTGCCCGCTGATCGCCCATTGACTGTTATTCTGCGTGGTGAAAATGCACTTCAATGTATAAAACTCCCCTACAAAAATGCAATATCCTCATGTGTTTCACTCATTAAAATAATTTGTTATTTACACTCAAGGTAGCCACAACTGTATTGGGATTACTGAATTTTGTTTTTCTCTGAAAATCAGTTCCTGTAGAATGTTATAGTCTGTTGAATTGAATGGTTTCTCGGAATATCGTCATAAATCCTCAAATCTGACATTTTTTAAAATAAAACTTTACTGTGATGTAGCTAAAAGTCTGCAAATTCTTATCATATGTTTGGTTTTTCTGAATAATTTGTGAAACATATGAGGAAATAGCTGTAACGGTGATCCAAGTAATTTCCGTCGCCATATTTTATTGGCATTACAAAAGTATTTGAAATTAAATGTTATTATATACCTCACTTAAGAAATCCAGCCATCTGATTGGTCGAAATTGCATTCATAAACTTTAACTATTTCTGTAAAATTCCCAGTAACCATGATTAAAACAATTCTAAAATCCCAGTAACCATGGTTATCGGGAAAATAGTTCAGTCTCCATGGTTACCCCATAGGTTTACATGTTAAAAAATGGTTTGAGCGATTGACGATACCGTACGTGTGCGAAGAATTTGTCGGTATTTTCATACAAGGCAAGACAATTCCAAACAAGACAAAAATGGCTCAAGAAACTCTCCCAAGATTTCAACTTATCAAATGCAAGACTCGCTGACAGCAAGAACAACAAAAAGGGTACGTGAAATTATCCATAAACATGTTCGTTTAGTTGCTGAAAAAGCATAGACGTAGACTCTAGACGAAAATAGATCTAGTTGTCAGGGTGTCTGATCGCGCACCCGATGTTGTGTGTTAAAATTCTTCTCATAGAGTTTGCACGCAATGCAGTCGCTATGCAGTCTACGTGCATTGCGCGACCATGCAAAAAAAAGTCAAGTTTTTTTTTTTCAATTCGAGATTCAAACCTTTATCTGTTGTGATCCTGAAGGTGATACTCAATAAGTGAGGTGTCATATGAAAGCACAGATTCTTCTCCATATTACCCACAGGGCCGGCCCACCCCCAAAATTGTAAAAATATCTTGCTTAGACTAGAATCTAGATCTAGTTTTCTCTCAAAGATACACTCATAAAAATCAACTGTGCAGATAAACTAGAGAAAGGCCAAGGTGGTGTCATTAGTTGACTCTTTTGTTTTCGGCATATAAAAGTATTAATGACTGCTTTAATATTCGAGAAATAGTTGTTTTTATACGCTCTCGGGAAGGTTACAATTGGGCTATTGCCCTCGGCACACCTCGGGCAATAGCACAATTCTAACCTTCCCTTGAGCGTATAAAAAAAACTAATTCTCTCAAAGCAGTCATTAATACTATAATATTTGGTGTAAATATGATCTATAAATATATGATTTAAAAAATGCCAACAAAATGAACAGTTTGACTTTCCTATATATATATATATATATAATTAGCTGAAATGACCTAATTTGCATATTTGATGAATATTCATAATTTTTTTTTCTTCAAAAAAAATATATCTCCATACCTGTCTGATATACATAGGTTTCATTGATGTATCATGTTGGGCTTTGATTTGATTAGATATGCGCATATTAATTAGACGGACTTAGTTATTTTCACAACTTTTTCATATCTGCAGATTCGCAAAAATGGCAAAAACGACTTTTTTTGTTTGCTTCTGTTTTCAAAACGGTAATAGATATATGAATTTTCTTTTTTGTATTTTTTACCACATAGATGATATTTTAGTTTCCTATAATTTAATTTATTATTTGTGTCCAAGAAAGTGATGAAATAAGTTGTCAACTTTGTCGAATTTTGCCATTTTTGCCAATTTGACCATTTATGGCAGGTTTTTCGGTAATTTTGCGATATCAAGAAAATGGTATAAAATCACAACGCATTGACCCCTTTCAATTCTGTTTTTTGTTTTTTGAAGCTTTCATGAAGCTTGATCATTTGCAATCATCAAATAACATGTGTTTGTTGTACTTATTTTTGGTGTGCTATACCTAATAATAGCATATCACATATCCCACACATACCATAACATGCCAGAGTCACTGAAGAACCACATTTGCAATGGAAAATATATCCTAAAATATCACATTTTAGCGATGTAATCGGCGGTCCCGCTACCCGAATCTGAAAAATCGAGTATCTTACGCGTGTCTGTAAGAAATATGGGTACCATAAAATGAGCTTTATTTGAAGTATGTTTCAGATTTAGAGCCCGATTTTGTGCGAGTCGCAAGCTCAAAAGTATCACATCGCATGTATTAAATCAATGCAGCGGGACACCGCAACGCACACACGATATCTCTGTCTAATTCAGATTCCAATTTCCGATCAACGCAGTGCTAGTTTTCGACATGGCGAGCACGCGGGGAGCTCTGGCGTGGGATACCTGCTCCGCCCGCTAGTGCTATACATCAGCGCAGAAACGCGCGGCGCGTGCGCGCGCTTCCTAATGACTTTGTACATGCGGTCGAAAACTGGCTGGCTATGTCGATAACAGCCTCCGAAACAGTGAAAATTGAAATGAATATTGTCATGGCAATTCGTGATTTTTTTTTCAGGGATTCTTTTTTTGTTTAAATAATAATAATATTTGCTTCATGATTTAAACAAGAAATGATAATAAATAGGAAAAAAAGAGTCCCAAAAATAGGATTTTGTCTTAAGTGGTCGGAAAACCCTCCTTTACTCAATATGTGAATAAAAGGGATAACCTGGAGTTTCAAAGTTAATAGTGTATAATAATATATCGTCTCTAGTGCTTCTTAATGGGGTTTTAATTGATTATTAACATTATTATTTAGTTTATCATCCACAGCTATTAAAAACTGACTTTTGTTTAAAGATCAGTTGTGGGTTGTCAATATTAGTGTTGGACCTTGGGATCCTGCTACAGCACACTCATTCTGAATAAGCTCAACAATTGGATTTGGCCATAAGGACACTGGTCAGATTTAGGGTGGCAATATGATTTATTCTAGGCACTTTATTGATCAATCTCTTTTGCTCAGTCTTTATTAATTTCATTTTCTTTCTTCGCTTAAACATAGACCTACTCACAGCATATATAATAACGGCCAAAGGTACAACATTAAATTAAACATTATATATATATATGATATTACTTTTGTATTTTAATGTTTGTATTATGATGTTAATGTCTTAAAATGTTGTAAAACAGACAATATTAGCCTTGAGTTGTAAGTCGTGTTGTTTTAATAAATCAGTTTTATTTCATTCAGTTCACTACTTGTGCTCCCGTTATTTTGGCAGCTCGGCTATGACTAGTGCAATAATAATATTCTAAGATCCATGAGCATTATTGCGTGACGGATACGAGCGTGATATAAGAGGCCATTATAGTTATTATTATCATTTTTGTATTAGTATAATTGTTTTACCGTAATTATTATTATTATTATTATTAATATTACTATTATTATTATTATTATTATAATTATTACTATTGATAATAATAAATATTACAGTGAATGTTAGGATTATTTCCTATCGTTATTTTAACCATGACAATCACTATTATAATTTTATATTCTTGATATAA